AAATAATTAAATAAACAGGACTGCATGTGCATTGTGCAATGTGCATAAAGATATTTATCTTTTACAGGGAGTTTAAAAGTAATTCTAAAGGGAGTGTTCAGAAAGTTGTAATATACGATTCGTATTCCTAAAATAATTTCAATTTAATTTAATTTCAAACAAATCATTCAGATATCACAACCTAAAGGCATTGATTATTTTCGACACATTCGTATATAGTTAATATTTCATAATATTTGTTGTTTGTTTTAAGTACAATTCACTTAAACCGATTTTTTTCCAGTAGGTGTCTCTGCTACGTGTACGTGTAATCATTCAAAGCATAGAGTGCAGAGACATCTATTTTGGCGTTTTCAGTGCATTGTACCTAAAAAAAATATATTAAATAGTAACTATACACGAATGCGTCAAAAAATAATTGATGGCTATTGACTATAGGTTGTAATACCTAACAGATTTGTTTGTAAATTGGTTATTTTACGAAACGAGTTGTATATTGAAACTTTCTGAATTTGGATGGACGCTACGTTCTTCAGCATAAGTCGTCTTTAACAATTTTCTCCTTAAAGACCAACAGATAGAAGTAAGATTAGTAGCGATCAAAACCCCTTTCATTTTTCGTGAACACTCCCTTTAAGTGATTATTAATCCGTTATATGCCAGATTTACAACAGTACTCTTTAGCTCTTTGCTGGATTAGCAATGATTAAAAAATGTCGTTTTTCTTGAAAAGTGATGAGTTCTCTCTATTTCCTTCCTTTTCTATGCGGCATATATTCGCAAATCACTTTCATAGACAACCATAACTGAAAATAATCAATTTTTAGATAGAAAACCGAGGACAACTCCATTATATTTGAATTAAAGGGCGCCATCTTGAATCCGACGTGTTTCTTTGTAAATAGAGAATCACTTGAAACTACGTTAATAGTCCCTTAAAGGGACAGTAAAGGATTAGCTTTCAGCCTAAACACCCTTTCATTTTCCCTTTACTGTCCCTTTAAAAATATAAATACTTTGTTTAATAACAGTTCTAGTTTTATATTAAATGAAAAGATAAAAAGTATAACTTGTAATTTGTTTCATCAAATTGGAGACAAATGCATTTGAGATGCATTTAATCTCATTTAACTAAAAACTTTTAATTGAAATTTTTTGAATATAAATTATTAATATTTAATTTTTTAATCGATGTTGAACCTTAACTAAGTAACTGTATACTCTGTAGGTTTATATATATATGTTGCGTGTTTTCGGAAATTTATTATTATTACTTTGTTGGCTGGAGAAAAACATGTATGCACTGTAATTAGTTGTTTTTACCTCAATGTGCAAATTTATCAAAAAATGTAATTTACAAAAACAATTCGTGTAGCAATAAAAACAAAAAGAATGAATGAAATATAGATGAAATGAAATTTTTTTGAAAATAAGTTTATGAAGGGAATTGTGCACAATTATCAAGTAGTCCTAAAATCATAATCATACATTTTATTATAATTTTTTTTACAGAAATCCTTTTTAAAGGGACTTCTAACGTAAAATGAAAAGGTGGTATAGTTTAAAGGGATAATTGCGACCAATATTAGTTCTATCTCATGTCCCTGTCTCGGAAAATTGATGTAAAACTGTGTCAAAGTTTTGACTAAACTCATAAGTATATATGTGATATGCATACATGAATTCAATTGTTTTAAACAGATCATATTAAGCAAATACAGGAACACATATGAAAACCAGGATAATAACCTAAAGGTGCCCAAATATTTTATAATTCTAATATATAATATTTATTCATTTTCTGGATATAATTGATATTATAACTGTTACGTTTATATCATGTGACCAGAATTTTTACCAATGGCGGTGCAGTATCTGGTCACGTGGCTTTGTCGGCCATTTTACATATACTCATGAATTTTGGCATAACTTTAACACAGATTTATATCAAGTTCTCTAGACACGGACATCAGTTAATACTAATAGTAATCGCGACGCGATCAACTCCTAACATTTTTAGGCTTCCGCCTTTATCCGCATTGTACCTTAACAAGTACCATTAAGCAGTCTCTTTTTAAAAAATAAGCACGAGTTTGTTTTTGCTTATGATTATTCAGGGGAAGCATTAAACTTTAGAGTTATTAAATTGTTGTCTTTTATACTTATATATCTGTTAAGGTGTGTTTGGATGTACTAAATGTGTATGCACGTGTGGACCCTGGGTACACAAGATGGCGGGGGAAAATAATGTCAGAGGCAAACAAAACTAGAATATATCTTGCCGGTAAATTTCATGTTTTTATTCTCAAATATTGGTGGTTTATTTTATTGTCGATTAGGGTTGGGCACATTCCAACTTTTTCAATACGTTTTGTTAACTGTTAGTTCCAACCGTTTTTAAAATAAAATCTCAGGTAGCCGTTAGTTTTAGAGGGTAAGAACGAAGTTTTGTTTTGTAAACGGTATTTTCCGTTCTTTTTTAAAGTTACCATTAGTTAACAATCTCAACTTTATTTACAGCCTTAACAGTAAATTTTCAACAACTGTTAACTGCTCTAGCGGTTAACTGTTCCAATATTACAGAAATAATGGCGTTTACGGCACATAGATCCAAAAAACGGTTAATGAAATTGTTAACGGTTTAACAGTATCAATGACGTTAACAGCGTGAAGTGAACATAAAGACGACATATAAAAACATCAAAAAGCATAAATTTTTTATTTATTTTACAAGTTCCTTTCAATTTTCAGAAGGAAAAAAACGAAATTCACTGTTTTGAAAAACCAGTTTCTTTTCGTTTTTAACGGTTATTTATTTTTTAAAAATGGCTAATCCGTTTCGTCACTGATTTAAAAATAACGTCTTTCGCTGTTCGTTAACGGACTCTTATGTCAATTTTTGAAAACCTCAGTTTCATCAGCGAAACTATGCCCAGCCATACTGTTGATCCCGGATTCGAGTGTTTATTGAATATGTGTTAAGATCATTTTGACTTAAACTTATTGCAGTATACTGAACGAAGGATTAAATTGAACAAAGAATTTTACTGAACGAAGAATTTTACAGAACGAACAAACTCACGGAACGAATGATCTCACTGAGCTGAACAAATGATTTAATTGAACGATCATTCAGATGATTTAAAAAAAATATGTTGTTATCGAAATCGAAAGCGCCCATCTCTATTTACATTATGATTTATTTTTATTTTAGTTGCTCAATATTTTCTTTAGGTCTTGATGTTGCAGCCGGGCTTCTATCAACCAATATCTTGAAAAGTATTCAACAAGAAACTAAAATTCTACATTTCTACTTGCTCATGTTCAAATCCATTTATAATTCTACATAATTAGATTGTATTTGCAGAAAATTAATAAGATTTTATTTAATTATTTACACAATACACATTACACATGTCTGTTATAAAATTTATGTTTCTGCATGCAAAATATTTGTAATCATAACATAATTTTGTATTTTAAAACTTTGCTTTGTAGTGGAGAGAAAAATGTGATATTTTTTATTGAAATGCTTTTTTATTGCTTATTAAATACATTTTGATAAAGAATTCCCATAATATCTTTCTGAAAACGAAAAATCAAGGCAATAATGTAAAACGTAAAAAATAAAAATTCTGGTTGCAAAAATTGGAGTCCCTGTTTAAAATTCAGTGGGCCATGAATTTTGAAGTGCAGAAGTTGGAACACGTATTTAATCATTTAAAGAAATTTGGTTTAAAGAGGGACATGCCTGATTCACAACGGTACCCTTAAAACCTTAATCTAGAAGATTGTGACATTTTCTATAGCTTGAAAAGTGTTTAATTCTGATAATTTTTCCACTGTTTCAAGAAACTAGCAAGTCACTTTTGCGGAGAAACAATAAACGGAACTAAACAGTTTGAAAAACAAAACACATGAATACCTTATTCATTCGTAAGTAGAAAAAGGTCTTTAGAGTACTGTTGTGAATCCAGGGAATTAGAATAAAGGGAAGGGAAATGGCGCAGGTCTGGATGAGAAACCCGCACACTCTTTTGGTACAGACCAGGGAGCAAGGAATAGAAGGGAGAGACAACTGACGCGGTTCGCCCTACCATATGATTATACATGCTTTGCAGACGAAGTACTCCATTTAGTAGGGGCCCTATGTAAATATGTATTGGCTCAATTTTCTTTGACCAGTTTCGCCAATACATATTTTTCCTGTGGGGCCCTACTAAAGAAACCAAACAGCTCGATATAAAATTTTATTTATATCGAGCTGTATTGGTCAAAGAAAATTGAGCCAATACATATTTTTCCTGTGGGGCCCTACTAAATGGAGTACTTCGTCTGCAAAGCATGTATAATCATATGGTAGGGCGAACCGCGTCAGTTGTCTCTCCCTTCTATTCCTTGCTCCCTGGTACAGACACACAACATGAATATAGTCAAGGAATTTGCAGAACAATGTCGTCAATTATAATTAAACTTGAATAACGAGTAGTTTATTGTAAACTTTATTCAAATTATATTCTTTGCATGAAAATGTTGCTTATAGTGTTGAATTAAAATTATATATTACATGTATATTTTACTCTTTTTTTTAAAGTAAACGATTAACAATAAACAAATGTACTCTTCTAGACTGTAAAATATCGAGATTCTTATGTACTGTATATACCCACAGTACACGCCTTTGGTTCGCTATTATTTACACACACTCTGTGTGAATAGGACATGTAAATATATCATTGGAAACTACATTTAATTGTCTCTTCAAAAGAGTAGATTTCATGAATTTAAAATCTAAATACTTTTTAGATATTAGATTTTAAAGAGTATATTACGCTTTTTCGGTTAATCTCACATTTTGCAAGTTACAATAAAATATTAGAAAATCTGATTTAAAAGTTAGAATTTTTAAATACCAGCGTTTTTAATAAATAACTCAGGGTATAATGATTCATTAGAAAATAATGTTTCATTATCACTGGAATTATAAACATTTAAAAAGATAAGAGCAGTTGTGAGTGAAGTGTTGAATGTTAAAATGCTCAAATATTTTCTATTTTGTATTTTACATTGTGTTTTAGTCAATTCAACATTAGGATGGAACAAGGTAACATAAAAACAATTAAAAAACAATAAAAAACTTGAATTTTTTGCTTTTAGGCATTTCATGCTTTTCATAAAATAATGTTCTTATAAAACAAATCATTGTAATTAACATATTTCCCGCACGTATATTTCTTGAAATAATTATGTATTTACAGAATTTACAAATATCTTAAAAAGACAAAATAAATATTGTAAATCTGTTGTAAATGGTCGTTTTAATCTAGAGGGTTTTTTAATCTTTTTTTATGATTTAGATTCATTTGTATGATGTTTTAAAAAACGTTAAACAGATTCTAAAATATGACGAATTTGTTTAACTATTATTAACAGGTTTGTTTTAAATTGAATTGAAAACAGTATTATTTTAAACATGACAATGATGTTTATAAGAGAATCTGAAATCAGAATTTTCATTGATTTTCTCGGCTCTTTGTTTAACTATTTATTTTTGACAGATAAGAAAATTCTGCTTTAATAATGTTTTACTCCAAACTCGACAATGCCAATGTCCCAAATTATCAAATTTTAAATTAATATAGATTTTTTCGACACCAACTAATAAATAAGACTACAAGGACTGATGAGAATATTTTATTTAATCTTAATCTTATCCACAGAATCGAGGTTTTTTATATTTTTCTTCTTATACCTACTTGTTATCGTTGTTGTGATTTTAAGATTTAAAAATGACTAGGCATGAAAAATTAAGGGCAATTATCACATGTTCTGCAGTACGTAAATGTGTATACGTCTTCTCAAATGGTCGGGTTCGTCCTAGTATTCGATTTTTGGACCCCCCCCCCTCTCCTATCAACTTTGTACATGACCACTTATTTTTCAGCAAAATTATTATTGCTTTTTTATTATTTTAGGGTTAGGTTAGNCCTGTCTCGGAAAATTGATGTAAAACTGTGTCAAAGTTTTGACTAAACTCATAAGTATATATGTGATATGCATACATGAATTCAATTGTTTTAAACAGATCATATTAAGCAAATACCTTACATTTAAGATCCATGTACAAAATTGATGGGAGGGGGGGGGGGCCAAAATCGAACCCTCTAGGAAATTACCAATTACCAAATGATCTTCAAAAAGAGAAGAACATTATGATTGAAAGATGTAAGATTTTTATCTGACGTGAAGTTTAAGAGTGATAACCAGAAAACTCCGAAATTGCTGAAAACTCAAATTATATCTTTAAATAGTCCAATGAGACACAGCAACTGTTCAATGAAAAACAGATCCATTTTACTTTACAAGAGATTTAATAGGGTCTAGTAAAACTATTTTCTTTGTAACAACATGAAATACACTTTAACAAGATGATATAATGTCGTCTCCCTATTCGATTGTTTTCTGGTTATCACTAATTAAAACTGAAAGAAAATGGTGTTGAATGTTGATCTATCAAGAATTATGTTTTTAGGAAATCACGAAAAAAATTGGTCACTTCAAGGACGGTATTCTTTACAGATCAGAAACTATTGGGGAGTCAGCTGGGTAAATATTCAAATCTCAAGTGACCCGCGTAGAGTGTACGATTCACAATGATCGAAGTAAAAATGAGGAAGATATTGCGGCTTTCCTATCTAAAAACGAGTTGAATTTTGACAATTATCTTCATTTTCGCTGAAGCATAAAATTCAAACGTCACTCGTAAAGAAGAGAATAATTCACATATAAATTCAATTTAAAGAATATTATTTGTTATTAAAAAATAAGAGTTGATGACTAAAGGGTTTAAAACAATCTTTGACATTTTAGTGATCAAAAAGCTTTACACGAGGGAAGGGTGGGGAGGGAATGGGGGGGCCGTATTTGTTTTTAAGATAAATTGATTATTAAAAACTGTTCTAATTCCATGTAAAATAAAGGGTTGCCCTCCATTTCTTCAAAAGAATTAAATTGTTTGAAGGGGACAAATTACCATATTTTGCATTTTACCTCGCATTGATCCCCTGGAAACCTTTAACCCTAAACAGTCTGGGGGGGGGGCGTTTGGCGCCAACCCCCCCCCCATGAAGTTTTTTATCCTAGAACTCTCATTTTTGACACTATTATCGTGAAATTATGTGACTTTTAATAAATAGTAATTTAAAGGATTTTTTGTTAAAATTTATTTAAAGAGTAAGGTACAGGGCGGAATAAAAGCCCGGTCTGTGAAAAAAGATCTAAATCAGCCCATACCTATTTCGTGACTAAAGCTGCAGATCTAAAAACTATATTTTTTAAATTTTTTTCAACCCTCCATAGCACTCAAACTATTAAAGTTATCGGTCTAATTTTTTCCTTGAGCTGGCCTTGAAAAATTGGGCTATGAACATGAATTTCAACCCTATACCTATTCTCTAAGGCCTTTTTCTAGGGGGGGGGCACAAAACCCCCCCATATTACATAAATTCAGACCCCCCCAGCCTTTATAGGGTTAACATAAACAATTTCTTTAAAATCTGAAGAAAAGCATTTTTTAAAGTTCATATATTCTCTTCCTAGGCAATGTTACCAGTATACATGGTTGGGACCAGAGAACAAGAATACAAACAAAACAGAGAGATGTTCAGATCTAGAGGTAGTACGGTAACATCTAACAAATCAAATTAATTCATTCAAAAATCAAAACCCGGGCCACCGCACTCAGATTTAACGGTTCGGTCGCTCCCAACTGCACAATTTTACCAATAAATATTCATGTTTTATACTTTTTTGTCAAGAGATGCATTTTTAATGAAAAAGTAAGTAAGTACATTTATGTAAATATAAACATTGTTGAATTTAGATTCAAGAATTTGAAAGCATCTAGCCCTGGTTAGTCCAAGGTGACGGACCATCATTCAAAGTAAAGTTCTAATAAAGATTCACAATGTTTTCTTGCTTTGTCTTAGTGTTGAACCCGCTTTGATCCATTAATTTGTGGATTTATTGTATTTTTTAGTTCATACTTTTCAATATATTAATAAGGGACTGTAAGCGTAATTTCAAGTGATCCTCCATGGCAAGATGGCAATTCCCGATTTACAAGTTTACAACGGTCCCCTTAAAAGCTTTGTCTGATCTATGACTTAGATATGCATGTTTTTGTTTTGTTTTTAAATTGTTTATTTTCATTTGTGATTTCTCTGCAAAAGTGATTTACGCACTTTTTGCTCATGAGAAACAATGGAGAAATTGACAGATACAAAAAAATTTCAAATCAGGAAAATGATATTATCTTCCACAGTTTTGATCAGATCAATATTTCAGGGGTACCGTTGTAAATCGGGTATTTATGTATTTGCATCTTGCATATAGGGTCACTTAAAATTACGCTTACAGTCCCTTTCATTTCGCTTTATTTTTTATATAAACCTGTTTAGACCGATGATGCTGAGGAGAAAAGACCTTGTTTTGCTCCGCTTGTTTGGACTTTCAATGATGAGTTAGGGAGTAACCGACCTGACCCTAAGGTGTTAGTGTTAGAAATATCGAAAATTCTGATCAATATAAAGAACAATGATAACAATTCAAATACGTGCAGGTTAAGACTGGATATTTTACTTTTTCTTCTGATAATTAAAAAAAAAAAAATTCTATTCCTAGGATATAGTGGATGCATGCAACAAGAAGACCCCACCATGTGACCCAACCTGTATTAAGTCAGGGGGTCAAACTTGCGTCAAATACACTCTTATGAGTAATAATATTGTAAGTATTTTATTGCTTATGTACTCCATCTAAATTCCTGTCCACGTTTTCTTTACAAAACTTTTTAAATTAAAAGATTGCCAGAAATAATAGAGTTGTTATACTTCATCCAACTTAAAGAGACTGCATCCTTCAAGTTATTCTACATTTAAATCACGTAGAATTAACTTATAGCTGCAAGGTTATAATCCAAGGAAAGTTAATTGCAAGTTGCGTCATAGGATTTTCATAAACTAAATAATACTGTTTACAGGACAATGCCGTTGTACGAGAAACAAGTTTTTGTGGCCGTGTAGTGTCTGATGGTGTTACAGTAAGCAACGATGTCTGTAGGTATAACATTATTTTTTTTTTAGTCTAAAACTTTACGCTAAAAGCTACCTATATTATTTTATGCAAAATGAAACAGTAATAATATTTTATATATTGAGGCTGTAAACGTTCAAAAATCTATAAATACTAGGCTTTTAGGACACTTCGCGCCCATCTACTATTTCAACTTTTCAGTGCGGCTTTCTGTGAGCATCTTCTCTTTGTACAGTATTTTTGCGCATTTTCAAAAGTTTACAAAAATAAAAAAAAAACTCTAAACACAATTTTTAGAAAATTTTGATGATTCATAAACCTTCCCTGGGGTCAGGTCCCACACAAAATTTCGGCCCGATCAGTTCAGCCGTTTTGGTGTTTATTGAATACAAACAAACAGACACCCAGACAAGCAAAGTATATATATAGATTTTTAAAATAAAATCACTTTAAAACTTTTTAATTTAGAACTCAGAAGGACTCTGCTGGTTACAATGTAGAACTGTGCTCATGTTCATCTTCCCAATTCTGTAACGCGGCATTCAAGAATACACAGTCCTCAGTCGTCTTTGTTCTTCTTTCACTTGCCATTGCTTTTCTTTTAAGATGAACATTAGAAAGTAACTCTAAAAATTATAGAAAATATGACAAAATATACATAATTTAAGAAAATATAACATAATATAAACATTAACATCAACTCGTGAAATCATTTTTAAGAATATTAAAAGTAAAGCTGTGAAGTGTATCATGACATTAACAAAATCCTGAAACTTTAGGAGTTTGTCTCTTTAGGAGTTTGTCTCTTTAGGATTTTGTCTCTTTAGGAGTTTGTCTGATCAGGAATTTTTCTCTTCCTTTAGGAGTTTGTCTGTTCATGAGTTTGTCTGTTCAGGATTTTGTTTCTTCAGGAGTTTGTATCTTCAGGAGTTTGTCTCTTTAGGAGTTTCTTTCTTTAGGAAAGTGTCTCTAGCTTTAGGAGTTTGTCTGTTCAGGAGTTTGTCTCTATAGGAGTTTGTATCTTCAGGAGTTTGTCAGTTCAGGAGTTTGTCTGTTCAGGATTTAGTCTCTTCAGGAGTTTGTCTCTTTAGGAGTTTTTTTTTTTTCTCGAGTTTGTCTCTTTAGGAGTTTGGGTGTTCAGGAGTTTGTCTCTTTAGGAGTTTGTCTCTTCAGACGTTTGTCTGTTCAGGATATTTTATTTGAGGAGTTTGTCCTGATGCTCCTTGAAGTAAAGTTTGAATGTTTCTTCTTCTATGTTCCAGTAAAATATCTAGAATTGTAATACTTTTGTTTGACTTGTACGAGAAAAGACAAATAAAAGAATAAAACTTAGTTCTTTAATATCCACCTCTAAACTATTGTAGAACAGGTACAGGTTGAAACATTGTTCTTTTAGTTAGTAAGATTTTCATGTCCGATTCACAACATTAGCCTTAAAAGCTTTGAATGATCAAGTATGAATAAAAAAGTATGATTTTTCTTTTACTGTTTCTCTGTAAATGTGACTTGCGGATTTCTTGCGCCAGAAGCAATAGAGTAAATTGTTAGACTTTTCCCTCAATTTTCAAGTTATAAAAATATGAAGATTTTTCCACAATATTGATTTGATTATGGTTTATAGAGACCTTTGCAGAGTACCGTGTGAATCGGACATGGCCCCTCATGGAAAGTCACTTGAAATTACACCTACAGTCCCTTTTCATGTCAAACCAATCTAATTTTAAGCCCTAAAGACATTCAGTAAATTGAGAGAAAATATTGAAAATGGAAAATAGCGACATCTTATGATCTTCTTCACTAACGCACCTCTGTCCCTTTGGTAAAAGTAAATTGAACCACTATGAAGCATAAAGCCTGACCGCGTCAACCTTGTTGCACCGGCTAGTCCTGTCCATAGAGCTAGGTACAGTCCAAACTGGGACCGGAAAGGTTGACCCGGCTCGGAAATTCAAATGTACTACGGCTGCCCGTAATTTGATTAATGGGGGACTAAAGGGTACAGTTCAGAATGTGATATGTACATGAAATTAATAACTATGACTTAGGCCGAGAGTTCCTTAAATAATTTTAGTAATTTTTTTTTTAATTTAAGAAGAAATAAAAATATACAATGAGACCCATAAAGCTGTTTCAAATAATTTGCTCTGTAACAACTATAATACACATAAAGTTGCTATTTGCTCTGTAACAACTATAATACACATAAAGTTGCTATTTGCTCTGTAACAACTATAATACACATAAAGCTGTTTAAATTTCGTCTTCCAGTTTCACAGTTTTTGGGTCTCTCCTCACTGTATACATTTCGTTTAAATAGAGAGTGTGTTTATGGTTTATTGATGTATATTAATATTTGATATGAGGGTTCCTATATAAAAACAAATGGTTTGGTTGATACCAGCGTCAATCATAATTACCAACCTCTCCCACCACCCACAACCTAGACTAGCTATTAAAGGGTGTCTCAATTAAACATGGGAACTAAGTGACGAATTCTCAATCGTCTTTGTTAAAAATTAGCGTTGTATTACATAATTTCAATATTCAAACTAAAGTTATGTCTGCTTGAGTATATTTTATATAACCGTACAATCAAAATATTTAAAATAAACAAATTCTAAACTCATAGGAGTCAAAACATCTACGAATTACAGCTTTCCTAGTAGACATTATCGAGGGGATGTCCCCTCCATCACCCGATGAGGTTACAGTATATAGAGTATTCATAATATGCGCTAAACGCTTTCTTAAGACGAGAATTTAGAAGAGTATCGTTGAAAAATCGAACTCCCGAGCTTTTAAGGCCTACAGATGTGTGCGGATACCAAAAAAAAACATATAAAATGATACATTCAACCAATTATAGTGATAACTTCAAAATTATTTTACCCAATTGACGAAACCTAGGTTCTGTCAGGGTTTTATAACGGTATATATATCTTAAATTTGAGGCTCTGATTTGCTAAATAGACTGGCTGGTATAGATAACTATTACCCCCCCCCCCCCCAGTTTTTGTATCACAATACTAACTCATATAATCATTTATCAAAACTATTATAAAATCGTCACTGAGTTCTATGTTTATTGGGACACTCTGTACAAGTAAATTTATAAATATTAAATATCTATGTTTTCCTACTCATGATGGATACAGTAAAGTTTCTGAATAAAATCAAGTTTTAATTTGTATCTCATTTATTTAATATCTATGTCACTATATTTTAAAGTGAATGAAAAATAAAACCTTCCACTCTTGAGCAAAGGAGCTGTATACATAGTTTCAAGTAAACCTCATGAATAGAGTGGGGGCTGTAGACATAGTTTCAAGTAAACCTCATGAATAGAGAGGAGGCTGTAGACATGGTTTCAAGTAAACCTCAAGAAAAGAGGGGAGGCTGTAGACATGGTTTCAAGTAAACCTCATGAATAGAGGGGAGGCTGTAGACATGGTTTCAAGTATACCTCAAGATTAGAGTTGGGGCTGTAGTCATAGTTTCAAGTAAACCTCATAAATAGAAGGGAGGCTGTAGACATAGTTTCAAGTAAACCTCATGAATAGAGAGGAGGCTGAAAACATAATTTCAAGTAAACCTCATGAATAGAGTGGGGGCTGTAGACATAATTTCAAGTAAACTTCATGAATAGAGGGGGGGGGGGGCTGTATACATAATTTTAAGTTAACCTCATGAATAGAGGGGGGACTTTAGACATAATTTCAAGAAAACCTCATGAATAGAGAGGGGGGGGCTTAGACATAGTTTCAGGTAAACCTCATGAATAGAGGGGAGGCTGTAGACATGGTTTCAAGTATACCTCAAGATTAGAGTTGGGGCTGTAGTCATAGTTTCAAGTAAACCTCATAAATAGAAGGGAGGCTGTAGACATAGTTTCAAGTAAACCTCATGAATAGAGAGGAGGCTGTAGATATGATTTTAAGTAAACCTCATGAACAGAGTGGAGGCTTCAGACATAATTTCAAGTAAACCTCACGAACAGAGGGGGCCATGAGCCACCACTATTTTCCCCTTCCGTACCACCACAGTTGACTCTTCCGGGCAAAACTACTTTTTGAAATGGTAGATTTAGGCCTTTAAAGTGTGATTGTAAATAATCCATTCGCGTCACGCAAAAAAAGCACAACTCAAACCATTTTTTCAATTCTACTTAAGATTAGAATTTTGTGTGTTGAATTCTTAAACTGTTTTACAATGCAATTTTTCAATTACTGACTCATTAACAAACTTTGTAATATTTCAAGATGCAATCCTCAGTCAAATTTGTTAATGTTAAAGTTAAAGTTTATTTAACAGCTTCAAAAATTCGAAATTGAAATGGATAGTCTAGGGAACATACTGTATTAATGTACTCTACTGCATATAATTTGTAAACATTTACATGATTTGTACACTTTGAACTCCCTTTCAGGCTGAAAGGGACTGACAAAATTCATACCGAGGGATTGTATAAATTCCACTCTAATATATATTCTGTTCTCTTTGCTTAATCTCCATTTATAGAGTGCCATGTTCGATTCACAATGTTACCATTAAAAATTTTGACGACAGGATGAAAAATGAATGAGATATCCACGTTTTTTCCCTTTTATAAATTCATAATTTTTAATTGTGGTTTCTTTACTAAGCTGAATTTTCCGTTGTGTGAAACAGGTGGATACAAGGTACCGTTGTTAATCGAGTATGTCCGACCCTCTGTTAATAGAGGCTCTATTAAAATTAAACGACAGTCCCTTTAATGCGTTAATAACGACACGAAACTACGCAATTGCAGAGAGCTCTTTGTTTGACTCCGCAGTTTCTATTTTTCTCCGAATATAGAATAAAGAGACCAAATAATCAATCAAATATCCGATATTAAACCGAATTTATCACAGTTCCATCTCATTTTATAATAAAGAATTTTTTAATGAAAAATATTTGATCATTAAAAACTATTTTAAAAGGGGGATGCAAAGAGACATATAAATGTAAAAATTTGAATATACAAAACTATAACTCCCCTCAGCCTTGTCATAGAGCAATATCAACCTGTAGAATCTTTCTCCCAGAATCCAAACAGGAAGTAGATGAGAGGGGGGGGGGTGACCCAATTCCATTATTTCCATATTTCATTCTTTGTCATTTAAGACAATGTGCAATATGTAAATATTTTTGATAAATATATTTTTATGACTCCTTCACAATATTGCTTTATTTTTATGTATAATTTTTTCCCCTGGCCATGTACTGTATGATTAAATTCTTTTATAAAATTCCATGCATTTACGACCACTACCCCCCCCCCCTTCTCCTATGATCCTATCCTGCATATTCTTCGCTATAGAGGGTTTATCCAAAATTAATGAGACTTCAGAGAACGTTATGAGCAAACTTTACTCAAATGCTTTGTATTTTTATCTTCATGGTTTACCTTAAAAGACTGTATCGAAATCAAGTTAAAAGGTCTGAAATTTGTAATTTCCGTTTATAGAGTAGTATGTCCGATTTACAACGATACCCTTTAAAACTTTCTCTAATAAATTAGGTATCCATGTTAGTAATTTTAAAAACTGATCATTTTAATTTTGGGTTCTTCACAAAATTACATTTAGTTCTTCTGTAGGAAAGCAATATAGACATTATTAGAAAGAAACTGTATTCAAACTAGAAAAACAATTTATTATTAATAGTAAGTGACCAGAAAATGGTTTCAGCACTCTCCACTAAAACCCACTACTAATTTGGTAAGTTTACTGCAGATTTATACTGCAGTACGCAACGTAAGCTTTGTTTAGAGTGTCAGGGGCACCGATGTGAATCGGACATGTACTTCTTTTAAATGGAGAGTCATTTAAAATTAAGTACACAGCTCCTTTAAACTCATTATTCTTCATTCCAGTTGCACTTTATTGCTCTTTTTCCTCCTTCTCTATCTTTCTCCTTTATTCTCAACCCCTTTTCTCCTATTGTAAATGCCTCCTTCCTAGCTTATTCTCATTCCCATCCTTCTTCCTATTTCTTTTTTCGCTTGACCCCTTCTCAACCCTACCCCTCCTATTCTAAAGCATGGAGTGTTTAACGTAAATATTCTCCGGTTCTGTAGTTCTCTATAGTCCGGAGTAAAACCAAGAGCAGAGTAAATCCTCGAACTCCAGAGTAGTGAACTGAACCCGGAGTAATACTTGAACCATCCCAGTGTATTGAATTGAATCTAGAGTAATATTTGAACCAGGGTAGTGAGTGATTGTACCCGGAGCCAGAGAAAATTGCACATATATATTATATACTTTATATAATTATATATTATATACTTTTTATAATTATATATATTATAT